CTCCTTCTAGGGTAGGGAGGTGATGTCCCATCTAGGCTGCTCGGCTTGCTGTGTAAGGGGGGAACCCATGGATGCATCTTTGGGCTTCCTCTCCTTCTGCTATGGGAGGGGGGGAGGGCTGTGCTTCAGTCTACGGCCTCTCGGTTCAGCAGACCAAACTGGCTCCCCCTTCTCCTTTGGCCTGCCCGATGGCCCCTCCTCCTGAATGATGGCATGGTGAAATTTCTCCTTCAATTCGTCTATGGGGCTCTCGAGTAGCTTCCCTGAAGCTTTTTGGTGCCTGGCTTGCTGCCAGTCCCATAGCCAATCTGCTCTCCCCAATTCACTCAGGGGTTTCCCCTTCCCTTGCGCGTTCGGGAAGGGAAACTCAGTCTCTGTGGATTTTGGCAAAGCCCACCAATACTCATCTTTTTTTTTTCTTGGTTTGTGGCATGATTGTCTGATCTTGGCTGTCTTGCAGCTTCGCTGGAGGAGGGAGGGGTTGAGGCTCCGTCGCATCCAAACTGGCTGGGATCAAGACTGGCTCTTTTCCAGTTGCCTGGATTAAACTCTCTTCGGAGAGTTTGCTTTCCGCCATGACGTCTGGACTTCTTCTCCACTCACTCCATACATCTGGCAGGGAGCTGGAGATCTGGAGGTCAGCCAGTTTGGCTTGGAAAGGAGTGTTGGTCATCTGTCAAGTTTTGAGGTCATCTCAAATAAATTGCATTTCAAACAAAGTCTTTGAAGAAAACTCCCATTTATTAAGCACGACATTCAAAGCCCGACTCATCGTAGCCAACACTGACTTCCAGACCCAAAACCTTCCCTTTCCGTTCCCCACTCCTCTGCACTCATTGGCCATCTTCCAAGTCACTCTACCCCTATCTACTGCTCCAACTCAAAGGAATTTCCCCCCTCCCATCCCATCTCCTAGGGGATATTATCTCCAGGGAAAATAAGTAGGTGAAAAGTCAAACGTCCCTTTCCAGACGCCTCCGCTCCTCCTTCTTATGTCAGCACTAGAGTAAATGCAGCTTGAAGTGCTGACAGTAGAATAGAATAGAATAGAATAGAATAGAATAGAATAGAATAGAATAGAATAGAATAGAATAGAATAGAATAGAATAGAATAGGATAGAATAGGATAGATTTTTTTATTGGCCAAGTGTGATTGGACACACAAGGAATTTGTCTTGGTGCATATGCTCTCAGTGTACATAAAAGAAAAGATACGTTCATCAAGAATCATAAGGAACAACACTTAATGATAGTCATGGGGTACAAATAATGACCTCAATGACTATCCTTAAATATCGCTGACATCCAAAGTTCCCCTTTTCCATCTCATCATACTTGTATGGCTTATACCTCGGCAGATTTGCTCGCGCTGAGAGATGCCCCCCTCTCGCGGCGATGGCCTTCCACTTTATCGAAGGCCTACCTTAAGGACTGGCTTTGGAGCCCCGAGAGGTGGCATGTTTTAAAGCGGTGATTGAGGGTTTTTTAATTAGGGTTTTTAATAATTTTTTAAGGGGAACTGGGAGGGCGACCAAAGGGGATGGGGGGGGGGTAATCCACCTAGGTCAGGGCCCAGCACGGCACAGGGTAACGGTCTGGAGGGCGCAGGACGAGGGATTGGGGATATCATCAGCACGGTGGATGGGAGGGGCAGATATGGCGGGAGCAGAGGACCTTATCTTGTGCCGGGGGTGCACACTCGCTACCTGAGAGCGATTGCGCGCCCCGGTCCTCAAGGCTTCTCTCGGATACTAGGTGGCAGAGTTATTCAGGACCTGGGCCTCCGGCTGATGCTGTGCAATGCCAGGTCCGTGGTAAATAAGGCCCCCCCTCATTTACGATCTTATTCAAGAGGGGGAAGCGGACCTGGCGGGTATTACGGAGACCGGGTTGGGCCCAGAGGGATGGGTCCCTCTGGTTGAGATGTGCCCACCAGGCTTCAGAGCATTCCATCAGCCGAGGGCCCAGGGGAGGGGCGGGGGGTGGCGGTTATTATTAAAGAAGGTCTTGGTCCGAGGGAGACCACTGTGCCACAGATTGCCGGATGTGAGTCCCTCTTTGTGAGATGGGGTCATGGGGTTCAGATGGGCTTGCTGCTTACGTACCTGGCTCCCTGCCGCGTGGCAACGGCCCTGCCCGAGCTACTCGACGTGATAGCCACGGTGTCAGTTGATACACCAAGGCTTATGGTCATGGGTGATTTCAACCTGCCGTCCGTTGGTGAAACGTCGGAGATGGCTCGGGAGTTCATGGCTTCCATGACGGCCATGGACCTGACCCAATTAGTTCATGGCCCCACTCACAGGGGGGGGGACACACGCTGGACCTGATTTTTGTCTCTGGCCAGTGGTTGAGTGGTCTTATTATAGGGGATATAGACATGAAACCCTTGTCATGGTCAGATCACTCACTCCTTCGTCTGGACCTTCGAACCGCTACACCCCGCCGCAGGGAGGCGGACCCAATTAGATGGATCCGCCCCAGGCGCTTGATGGATCCTGATAGGTTCCAGATGGAGCTTGGGCCAATTCCTGAAGATCTGGCACACGACTCGGCCGAGGACCTGATAGCTGCCTGGGATCGGGCGGCTGGTGGGGCCTTGGATCGAGTCGTGCCTTTGCGGCCTCTGACCCGGTGTCGATCCCTCGCGGCTCCTTGGTTCACCGAGGAGCTGAGGGAGATGAAACGCCGGAAAAGACGCCTAGAGAGCGGTTGGAGGGCCAGTCTCGCTGAATCTGACCGAACACTGGTAAGGTTGCATATTAAGACCTACCTAGTGGCGATAAAGACGGCAAAGTTTAATTACTTTTCCGCCTCTATTGCATCATCAGGAAATCGTCCGGCCGCCCTGTTCAGAGTGACCCGCTCCCTGCTCCATCCGGGAGCGCGGGAGGATCCCTTGGAAGGCAGGGCGGAGGATTTCGGACAATACCTGTATGACAAAATCGCTCAGATCCAGGGGGATTTGGACTCTGACTGGGTAGATCAGGGCAGGGTGACGAGAAATAGTCTTGAGAATGTTACCTGGGAGGAGTTTGATGCTGTGACTCCCGATGATGTGGACAGGATTTTGGGGAGACTTAGTGCGGCCACATGTTTACTGGACCCGTGTCCCTCCTGGTTGGTACTGGCCTCCCGGGAGGTTACACGAGGCTGGCTCCAGGGTGTTATCAACGCTTCGTTGAGTGAGGGTCACTTCCCCGCCACCTTGAAAGAGGCGGTGGTGAGGCCTCTCCTCAAGAAGCCATCCCTGGATCCGGCAATATTGGCCAACTACCATCCTGTCTCTAACCTTCGCTTCATGGCGAAGGTTGTTGAGAGTGTGGTCGCGCGACAGTTTCCGCAATTCCTGGAGGAAACATCCTATCTAGATCCATTGCAGTCGGGTTTCAGGCCCGGGCACAGCACGGAAACGGCATTGGTCGCGTTGGTTGATCTCTGGAGGGCTCGGGACAGGGGTTGCTCCTCTGTTCTGGTCCTGTTAGACCTCTCAGCGGCTTTTGATACCATCGACCATGGTATCATGCTGCACTGGTTGGAAGAGTTGGGGATGGGGGGCACCATGTTACGGTGGTTCTCCTCCTTTCTCTCTGACCGGTCGCAGTTCGTGTTGGCAGGGGGGCAGAGGTTAACCTCGAGGCCTCTTATATGTGGAGTGCCTCAGGGTCGGTCCTCTCGCCCCTCCTGTTCAACATTTATGTGAAGCCACTGGGCGAGATCATCCATGGCTTCGGGGTGAGATACCACCAGTACGCTGATGACACCCAGCTGTACATCTCCACCCCAGGCCACCCCAACGATGCCCTTGAAGTGATGTCCCAGTGCCTGGAGTCTGTGCGGATCTGGATGGGGAGGAACAGGCTCAAGCTCAACCCTTCCAAGACTGAGTGGCTGTGGCTCCCGGCATCCCGATATAGTCAGTTGACTCCATCACTGACTATTGGGGACGAGTCGTTGGCCCCCACAGAGAGAGCTCGCAATCTGGGAGTCCTCCTGGATACGCAGCTGTCCTTGGAGGAACATCTGACGGCTGTAACCAGGGGGATCTTCTGTCAGGTTCGCCTGATTCGCCAGTTGCGGCCCTTTCTTGATTGGGATTCCCTGTGCACAGTCACTCATGCCCTCGTCACCTCTCGCCTTGACTACTGCAATGCTCTCTACATGGGGCTCCCCTTGAGGAGCACCCGGAGGCTCCAACTGGTCCAGAACGCAGCAGCGTGGGTAGTGACGGGAGCAGCATGGCGCTCCCATGTAACACCGCTCCTGCGTGAGCTGCACTGGCTCCCGGTGGTCTTCCGGGTGCGCTTCAAGGTGTTGGTTATCACCTTTAAAGCGCTCCATGGCATAGGGCCTAGCTATCTTCGAGACCGCCTGCTGCCACCGACAACCTCCCATCGACCCGTGCGCTCCCACAGAGAGGGCCTCCTCGGGGTGCCATCAGCCAAACAGTGCAGGCTGGTGACCCCCAAGGGGAGGGCCTTCTCTGTGGGGGCACCTACCCTCTGGAATCAGTTGCCCCCAGAGATAAGGAGAATCCAAGACCTCAGTGCCTTCCGCCGTGCCCTTAAAACCTTCTTTTTCCAGCAAGCCGGGCTGGCCTAATTTTTTAAGTGTTTTTAATTGTTTTGTTTATCGTTTTTAATTAATGGGGCCAAATTTATATATGTCTTTTAATTGTATTTTAATATTTGTCCTTGATGTTTTTACTTGGCTGTTCACCGCCCTGAGTCCTCAGGGAGAAGGGCGGTATACAAATTCAAAATAAAATAAAATAAATAAAATAATCAATCATAAATAATTCTAGAACATTTGTTCCCTCTCAGTCCAATCTCAGCCATGGATTGCTGAGAAGGTAAATAAGATGAGGCTTCCACATGCATGTTTTAGACTTCCCAGCAGACAGAAGGAACATAAATGATGAAGACCAAAAAAAACCCCCAAAACCACAGAAGTTTGCTCAACTGAGTTTAGGGGATCACATGCACAGGTGTCCCACATACCTCTACGTTCTGCAACAGCATGGCTTTCTCCTTCCACCATTGGCCTTTGCCTTCTTTCCACTTGAGGGTCAGGTCAGCAAGCTTGATATTGACCTCAGCTCCCTCAAGGCGGCTCTTGTGGAGATCAGAGATGGTGCGGTCTCGGATAGAGGCCACACTGGCTAGCTCTTCCCCTAAAAGAGCCACTTTCTGTTGGCTGGCAGCCAGAACATCCTGTGTGGTGCGTAACTGTTCACACAAGGACTCCATCTGTGCCTGGAAAGAGAGAGGACTGAGAGGAAGAGGCCCAAGAGAAGGTGGAGAGGCCATATCCAACCTTTATGGTACTAGGAGAGCCCCAGGAAGAGAATAAGTGGTCTATAATAGCAGCCATTAGAATTCAGCACACTTTCTAATCCTGAAGTGGGAACCTGTACAAGCATTGATTATGGAGGATGGGAAGGTCTTCCAATACTTGATGTATTTCAGGTTTTCAAGCTCTAACCTAATTCTTGTACCAAAAAAAAAAAAAAAACCAAAAAAAAAAAAAACCTTGTCTAATTTTCACAAAGAAAGAGAGAGATATCTGTTAGGATATGGTTTGAGCCTAACAAGTTGTCCAGGCAATATATGTGTTCTGTGACTTTAATATGAATATGTATTGTGTGACTTTAAAGTTTTCCTGCTGATTCATTGTAATGCTGAATCATGCTGTAATTAGTTGTGAACGTATTTAAGAAAGGTACTGTAACGTATTCAGTTGATGATAAGCTACCATAGTGTGTGGAGTTGCTATCATTGTTGGATGGATCTGCTACCATCGTGGTTTGTTACCAGAGTGAGTTTGTTATTCTAACCAACTACTGTTTGTGTGGTAAGAAGATTTCTGTATCACTGGACTGATTTAACTGGCAAAGACTTGGATTTGTTTAAAGACTATGAGATTGTTTTTTCACTATAAGTAAACTTTTGATAAACTAGTTTGCACATCTCTTATTCATTGCTCTCAGCAACGTTTCTCTGTGCTCTACACTCTGCTGGTTGGTAACACAACAACAATATCCTTAACAATATCGATCTAGTTTCTTTCCCTGGGCCAAGAATAAATCCCTGGGTTCTGGTTCCCACCCATCCACTCCTCTGCCCTGCAGGTCCTGACAGAACAAGTGGTTTTCCCTAGATCAGGGCTGGCTGATTTTTGTCAGTTCTTTCTTGTTCTCTAACATGAAACCAGTTCTGTTGGCTGTAACTTTGTTCCAAGTCTATTTATGAAACAAAGTCCATGGGTTTAAGGGACTTCACCCATAATTAAAATACCTTATTTCTCCTAGAATTTTTAAAAACTAATTCATGAAGTGCCCAGTAGAACCTGGTGCCATTTTGTACACGAATCTTCTTCCACAAAACACAAGTTTGGAGAAAAAGGGTTGGACCTGAAGCAACATCACCCTAGATTTTTTATTTATTTTTTTTGCCTATGACATGTCCTGATCTGTGCTTTGCTTGTCCAACCTTTTTTTTTTTTATCAGTGTGAAATATGAGCCGAGGTGGTGCAGTGGTTAGAGTGCAGTACTGCAGGCTACTTCAGCTGACTGCTAGCTGCAGTTCAGCAGATCGAATCTCACCAGGCTCAAGGTTGACTCAGCCTTCCATCCCTCTGAGGTGGGTAAAATGGGGAGCCAGATTGTTGAGGGCAATAGGCTGACTGTGTAAACCACTTAGAGAGGGCTGTAAAGCACTATGAAGCAGTATATAAATCTAAGTGCTATTGCTATTGCTATCATTCTGAAATCCTGGATTCTTTCTTGTTGTAAGCTACTACCTTTCTTTTGGTAATGGAAATAGCATAGACCACTGGATTAGAGATATCCACTGGATGGCTACTTAAGGCTCCATACTCGAGGAAATGAGACGGTTACTTGCATTTAGGATGGTTCCTTGCATAAGGACAGAAATTACTAGGTGCTGGAGATAGGTTATCAAGACTGGGTGTCTTGAGAAGTTCTGGGAGAACACCAAGATCATCCCCCATTTATCAAGTGCTGGACTTGATAAACCTTATTTTAATATTCCTAGAGGCTTCCTGTCTTCAGGTACTTACTGTGCGGCGGTTAGCGGCTGCCAGCTTCTGCTGCAACTTCTGAATATCCTCCTGAAGCATGAGAGCCTGGGAGATTTTCTCACCATGACGAGTCTTGGCTTCTTGCAAGTCGGAGGCCAGACTACGGCTCTCCTCCTTGGAAGCCTGCAGCTTGACCTGGAGAGGAGAGGAGACGTGTTTCCAACATGCCAGCTGTTTGGCTAACAATGCCAGCTCTGGTTTCCTGCTCCTCTTTTGTGTCCCTCTTTTCAAACCTGTTGCTCCATGCTCACCTGGTACTGCTCTTTCTCGGCATTCTCTTCTTTGAGCTGATGGTGGATGTGTTCCTGCTCCCTCAGAAGTGACTTCACTGTGTCTTTCACCCTGCAGCAGAAATTATGCAAACAGTATATGTACGTGTGAGGAATATTCACTGTGCTCTTTCTAAGTCAGGGGCATCTCTAAAATACTGTCTGTCTGTCTGTCTATCTACCTACCTACCTACCTACCTACCTAATCTACTCTACCTATTTTGTTCCATCCAGTGGTGAAATCCATTTTTTTTTAACTACCAGTTCTGTGGGTGTGGCTTGGTGGGCTTGGCAGGTGAAGGATACTGCAAAATGTCCATTCCCTCCCTACTCCTGGGAGAAGGATATTGCAAAATCTCCATTCCCACCCCACTCTGGGGACATCCAGGGGTGGTATTTGCCAGTTCTCTGAACTACTCAAAATTTCCGCTACCAGTTCTCCAGAACCTGTCAGAACCTGCTGGATTTCACCCCTGGTTCCATCTTTGCATCTTCCTCAATATAGCACAAGCATCTACTAGCCCAGCAGCCTAATTCCAAGATGATATTTTAGCAACAACCTATTAATTTCAAGGCATCACTAGGTTACTAAATAGATCTCTGTATGAAAACATTTCCCAACATAATCTAATTCACTGACAGTGGGCTTGTTACAAACAATGTAAAAAACAATATTGATCCCTAAACTTCCTTCATTCCTGTACTTCCTCCACCTACGTTTAATTCGTGATCTGAATGGTAGTGGACATCCTCTGATAAAACCAAAGATATGGAAACTAGGACACAATATATTAAATCCTGGGACAGTTCCTTGAGATTTGAGTTAGAATGGCACCGAGAACTGATTCCATGACGATTCTGACTTTAGCATGAGAGAAGATATAATTCAGCCCATCCTAATCTGATACCCTCCGGCTGTGTTGCTCCTATAAACTTCTAATAATCTGAGTTAATAGGAGTTCTAGTCAGAACATCAACAGGACTAATTGCCTGTCGGTAGCTCAGAAGATATTGTCCCCACACTCCCATCTCTCTCTTTCTCTTTTTCCCTCCTGCCATCCTTCTCCCTTTTGATTGTACTTGAGGTGCTTTCTTTGACATGGCCTTGACCTGTCTAATTCCGTCTCCCTCTGAAGCATCTTCTCTCCAATCCTCTGGATATCGCCCTCCAGTTCCTGGATTCGGGCCAAGTGCCCAGTTTCTTGAATGCTTAGAGTGTCTCTCTGCTTGGAGATTTCTGTGTAAGAATTTGACAGTTCCTGATTGAGGATAGAGAGGAAGAAAAGTGAGGGACATGATAGACATTATAACATTTGAATAAAATCTAAAAATCCAGCAGCTAGTTTTGCTGACAAAATTGAACACAACAACATATGAATAACCCTACTGGATGAAAGTAAGGCTCATTTTGATCCAGAATAGTTATTTCTCACAATGCCCAACCAGACATAAAAGTATGAGATGGAGACATACCGTATATACTCGAGTATAAGCTGAGTTTTTCAGCACATTTTTTATGCTGAAAAAAGCCCCCCTCGGCTTATACTCGAGTGAGGAAGGGATACCCAGATCTTGCTTCAGGCTTGGAGTCAGATGTTGCACAAAGTTTTGTGGCCACCTGAGTTTTTGCTTAGTAAGATGAGGGGAACACAACATCTTTCCTGAAGCTTGGGAAGAGGTGGGATCTGGAAGAGCTGGCAAGTCCTACTGCAGAACCTTGCTTTCTGCCTTGCCTTATATTGTGCAGCCAGCTTGGTGTGCTCATCACGTAAGGAGTTAAGTGCTGCTTCTAGATCCGTTGCGCGGCTTCTCAGTTCTTGAACCTCTTCCTTCAGGCGGCAGGACTCACGCAACAGGGCTCCTTGTTCCTGACGACTCTCTTCCAGCTGAGTCTGTGGGGAAGTAGAGAGAAAGAGATACGGTACCAAACTACAAAGTCATGGGACACATTCATTCAGTGGACTGAATTTTACCATCTTTGTATTGCTATCCTAGAATTAAAAGCTGATTTAAAAAAATTAAATCATGATATAATCTTTCCAGGCTGAAATATTTCAAGGCTAATTGTATGGTGCATTGCTTTTACAAAACAGCTTTGCACAAGGAAATCTCAACATGCCAGGGAAAAGCATTTATCTCAGCCTTCAGATACTTAATTTTTTATACAGCAAAGTCAAATAAGGAATGCCTCAGTAGCAGTTTAATGGTTCTGGTATAATTCCAGAAGATTGGAAAAACTCTGCTATCTTGGCTTGATGAAAGCAGAAGGTCAGCCATTTAATATTGGATGGATGGTCCAGGACATCTTGAAACTCTTGCTCCATCTCATTCATTTTGGCACCTTAGGAGGACAGACTGGGCACAGAGATGTTGTTGGACTACTTTCTAGATTGCTAGCCAAGTTAGCTGAGATGGATGGAATTTGGAGCCCAAGCACATTAAGAAGGCCAACTTCTGACACCAATGCTAAGGAAAACATCAGATCATAGGTCAATATTTTAATTTGTGCCATGATGTACCTCCAAATTTGAATGTGGAAAGTGAAGATGCAGACTCAAAGGAAGCAACCAGTATCTGTTCCACCAATAATCACAAGGGATAGGGCCTTTCTCTCATTGCTGGTATTGCTTAGCCTTTAATTATATCAGAAGATACTGTATATTTAATATGGAAATGATAACATTCCCTTTGTATTAGAGATGATATGGAACAGAATTAAAACCAGGAAACATGAGTTTGTTGCAGTTTATTTCTAAGCCATCCCTTCTCTAGAGGGTGCTAAGAATGTCTACAATAACCTCACAAAATTGGTTGGGTTGAAAAAATGTAAAAACAGGCCTAAAATCTAGAGCATTTCATAGCTGAGTGAAAGCCTGAATTTAGAATTTCCTGAGCTGAGTTGAATGCTATAGTTAGGCAGCAAGCAACTAGTCATGAAAAAAATTATATTCAAAGAAGGGAATATCTCAAGTGGGTTTAGGGTCAAGAATGTTGGCTTACAGTGAGAACCAAGGGTTGCTTAGAGCATCTTACCTCAAGTAGAGCGGCCTTAGGAACTACCAGCAGCATATCAGTTCCTCCTCCATCATCGCTGGCCTCCTCTAGAGTGACGAGCTCATCCATGGGACGGGGTTCGCTGAATTGGAAAGGAGAACTTTGGCCACGCACTTCCCCATGATGATCCACATAACGAAAGTGATATTGCTGTGGACCTGGCTTAGGTAAGTAGCTGGCTGTGAAAAGACAAATATATTTATTGTATTATTTTTCTGACTTCTGAATATGAGGCTTTCTTTTATTTCTTGACTCCTAATGAGTCACAGATAAAAGGAAAACCAAAGATAGGAAATTAAGGATCTCAGTTTTGATTAACATTCTCTTTTCTTAATTTCTGATGAACTGTTAAAGATCTTTTTGCTTTGCTTTTAGTACAAATTGGCATTTTATTTTGCTCCCAGTTTCATTACATGGAATTGATTTCAGCACTCTGGACCATTTTATTGTTTCCCATGAACTTTTCCCTAAGCTGTTTTGAATAGCTGTTTTGAAAGGGCAGGCCAGATAGATTGCTGAAGCCAAGTTTAATAAGACTAGTTGTTCTGTTTATCTCCTTTATCTTGTGTCACCATTCTGCTTGGGCAGGAAGTCATTCTTCAAGTGTTACTCAAAACATTTAGCTGTGTATGCTTTGATGAATCTGCTCTGAATCACTTGTAACATGCCTACCTTGGAACTGGACGCTGCAATGAAGGGTTCCTTCAGAAGCTCCACCATCTGGCATTATGCCCCACACAAAGGTATAATAGTCACGTACCGAAGAAGCATCCGCCTGAGGCAAGGAATGGGAAAGGTAGCAGTAGAAGATATAGTACTTGTGTAACTCTCCCTGAAGGTCTACCATTGCAAACCCAACAATTTTGAATGGAACCACCTTTGAGTGCGAGAATGTATGTTTTTAATGCTGCTCTTTACACAAAATTCCTATCCTAGATAACTTTTGTTAATTTCAATTAACCTGTTTTCCCCAAAATAAGACAAGCCCTGATAATAAGCCCAATTGGGCTTTTGAGCACATGGCAATAAGGCCAAGCACTTATTTCAGGGTTCAAAAAAATATAAGACAGGGTCTTATTTTCGGGGAACACGGTATCTAACGTTTTAATGTTTTATAATGTTATTTTTATCATGTTGAAAGTTGCCCAGTTGCTTGATAGTGAGATGGGTAGCATATACATTTAATAAATAGAATTCCTTATGAATTATGAAGACAATGGTAATCAGAACATTGGAAATGCAAAGTTCTAGCTGAGCTGTGCTATCGTTCGACTTGCAGGGTATTTTGATTATGGGCAGAAGAGAGTATGTCTTCTTAATTGCTAATGCTAGCTGCAGTTCAAATCTCCCTGGTTCAAGGTTGACTCAGCCTTCCATCCTTCCCAGGTGGGTAAAATGAGGACCCACATTGTTAGGAGCAATATGCTGATTCTGTAAACCACTTAGAGAGGGCTGTAAAAGCACTATGAAGCGGTATATAAGTCTAAGTGCTATTGCTATTGCTAATTGAAGGAAGATATATTCTCCTGGTAAATATGAAGGACCCAGCTAGATGGCACCACCAATCAGCTTTGGCTGGTTTTGGAAAGCTACACAGGTTTAGATTTTGCTTAGTTCTTGGATGAGAGACCACCAGAAAATCTTGTCTGTGGGCTTTTCCTACTTTGAATGCTGTTGTTGAGAAAAAGATATGTCCTCTCCTGATGCTACAAGAAGGGGATTTGGATTTGAATGAGTCTTCAGCTTTTTACTCTACAGTTCCTGAGTGCTGTCACAACTGCAAGTAGTAAAAATAATAGCTAACAAAAAGTGTGGTGTTCATATACACTTGATTACAATTTCTCCAAAACTCCTGAAATGTGACCATACGCATTCAAATGTAATCATCCCACTTGTCGCCATTGGAAGTACCTTAAAGATCCCGATCCAATCTCTGGTCGATGGCTTCATGCCAGGTAGCAGATTGTAGTGGCACTCCACCTTGGTGTGGGGTACGTAACTTGAGGCCACATTCAGGAAAACTACGCTGGGGTGGGACTGCGCCTCTTCCATCTTATTAACTTGAGCTGTAAAGTAAATGAAAGTAGTTGATAGTGCAAGAAACATGATTTGGTGCTAAATCAGCCAGATGGGCACTTAATAGGCAAACCATCTTGTTGTGCAGGTGGATTGTTTTAGATTCTGCCCTTAGTTGAGGAAGGGATGTCTTTTGCAATGCATATTATTTAACTTAACTTTATGATGTCATAAGATAGCCCTGCTTTGATTAATTAATTAGTTCTGCTCTTTCTTTGAAGATGGGAGACCTAGCTTTCTGCCCCAAAGTCTTGCTCTATTGGCTTCCCTGCAAATGCATCTCAGGGCATGACCTGAAATATGAGCAAGGCTAGTTTTATGCACCAAAACAGTGTTGACAAAGGCCACCATGTCAGAGGCAATTAGCCCCGTTACCTTCCTGGGGTAATTGCTTGGATCGTAGCATTTTCCTTGTGTATACCTTTGAAAAATAAGACCGGAATACATCTTCTAATTAACTCATATTTATTGTAAAGAAAATAAAACATCTAACTATCTAAATATTTAATTGTTGCATTTTTGCAAAGTTCCTATCGGCTACTTCTCAGTAGCCGGACTTCTTTTGGCAAGAGAACAAAGAAAAGTGAAGAAGCAAGTGAAAGAATGTGGACATGTGTAGTATCAGTTACTGATAAGAAATTTTGGCAAGCTACGGAAAGTCTGACAGTCCAGAAATAATGAGCTCAGCTGGTAAATACAAAAACGCAGTGACACACCACTCAGGTCCTGCCACCTTCAGCAGCAGAACAGAGGAAAGCCTTTCTTCCTGCTAAAAACCCTTAACAGCCACTGCTAACTGGAGCAGAAAGACAGGATAAAGGAAAAAGGAATCTGTCTTAAGACAGGAAATTATCATCTACTCATCAGAGAAGAGAACAGGAAATTTGTAGTTATTACCTATACAGTATCTATAGATTAAAAAAAATATATACCAGGAAAAAGCTGAAATTCATATTATTTCTGATTATTCCTGGAGAATTCGATTTCTGCTGGGCATAGATAAGGGTAGGATGGGTATGTGTGAAAGTGCATGCTCTAAAAGTAAATATGGCTGGACAAGAGAATGTACATTTACAATATGTTTATAAGAAATAAAATAAAATAATCTTTTTTTTAAAAAAAAGTAAATATGGAAGAGTCTACTACATCTACCCACTTGTCATTCATCTTAATATTTTCCCTGGCATTTTCCTCAAATTTGCAAGCATTTTTTTTTTGCGCACAGTATTGCTTACAGATGGGAGACACAAATTAAATTATGTAATTGCATTAAACTGCTTACTGCACACGAATGAGTTTAATCCACATACTTTGGTCCTAAAGTATATGTTTTTTTCCTGAAACAACAAGGAGCGCTTAACAATTTTGGGGAGAATTTTTTTTTTATGACAGGAAAGGAAATATGAATAAGCATTAGGAGTGGCAGCGTACATACAATGGAACATGGATGGAAGCCAGGAGGAAGGGACAGAGCCAGGATGGCCTTCTTAATCTTTGCAGATTGTTTTTCCATCACTGGGATACTTTGGTTAATTATTGATTGTTATAATGATTTATTTATACCACACCATCAGTTTACATGGTACATTGCAGCATATATATATATATATATATATATACACACACACACACACACACACATATGTAGGTACATAAAAAAGAAAAATCTTTGTCCCCAAGGCACTTACAGTCTAGTTAATGATGGAAAGAAGCAGCAGCAGGAGAGAGAGAGAAAAAAAGGGTTTTAAAAAATGTCAGCCAATGCAGTTCAGAGCTGTAAGAACAATGGCTTAATTTCAGCAAAGGGAGTGCAGCAGGGTTCAGGGAAAGGTAGCAGGAGAGCCAATGGTTCAGAGGATGGATGTAGAAGGGACGGAAAGAGAATAAAAGTGAAGGAGAAAAGCTCTGAAACCTTTTTTCTTATTTGCATAAAAAGTCTGAACATAGATCTGTCATCCTTTTCGCTCCCTAAGCCCTCAGGGATGCTTTCACACCAAGCTTGTGATCATTCTTATTGCCACAAGACACCGAGAAGCCCAATAAGCAACTAGTGCTCCCTCCCTCCCTCCAAGAAGAGAGTATAAAAAATGGCAGCAGCAAACAGACACACACCCAATTTCACTGATTTGGTGCTTTAGAAAAACATCGCAGCAATTCATTAAACAGAAGGGCCACCCTAGTAGCATTCTTGTGCTCGCCCTTTCATTGATCCATGGCCTCTAAGATGGTATTTGATTAGAGCACAAGCACCAGGAGGACCCAGCGTTTTGGGGAGGGGGGGACACCTGTGCCCCCCCACCTCTCTGCATTTCAGTGGGATAAAACTGGACTCATAAGTTTTGAGCTGCACTGCATTTGAGCCAGAAATGAATTACTGAGTTGTTGTTAAATGGGAGCGTATTGTGGGGTCACAAGGGAACATAGAACTGATCCTGGAGCAACATGAATTTATTTATTTATATTTTATTTCTTTATTCATTTTCTATAGCCGCTCATCTCAGTCAATGACTCTGGACTGGTTATATGCTATGTATGGAATCGGCCACAGAATCTATAGAGGTAGACTAATCCTATGTGTAGATGGGCCGAGGGAAAGCAAGAAACTTAAAATCAATGGCAGGGTTTTTTCCCTACAATTATACCTCCATATGGAAAGAGGATGAGAAACCACACCCAACACTTTATTTATTTATTTAATTTGATTTATATGCCGCCCTTCTCCAGAGACTCAGGGCGGCTTACAATGCGTTAAGCAATAGCCTTCATACTTTTGTATATTTATACAAAGTCAGCTTATTGTCCCCTCAAACTGGGTCCTCAATTTACCTACCTTAGAAAGGATGGAAGGCTGAGTCAACCTTGAGCCTGGCAAGATTCGAACTTACTTTAATTGCAGGCAGCTGAATGTTAATAACAGGCTATTAGTCTGCTGCACCACCAGGCTCTTAATCCTGTGCCACCAGGCTCTTAATCCTTATTAATTCTTCATCAATCTATTAGTAATATTATTCTTTCTCAAGGATTTCTCTTGTGCAGGACTCGTATTCAAAACGCCTCCTTGCCTGTCCCTGCAATGGTATTTCATGGCTGAACAAGATTAGAATGATCAATGCCTTTCCAATTCTTACTATTTTGCTGCAGTTCACTTAGGCCACAATTGGGACTGGCAACTCGGTCATTTAGTAAGGTGGTTACTAAGTGAAACCACAGCTGTCCTTACAGACTTACTTCAGCTTTCCTTTGCTTTACAGATCTTGCGAGGATTGGTCGCAAAGTTACTTTTTCATTGCCATCATAACTGTGAACAGATGCTAAATGAGGCAGTCACTGAACAAGGATTGCTGGTACAAGTATGGGACTGGTAGGAAATAAACCTCATGCATTGGAGCTGGTGCTTTCTTATAGCTTGCTTAATTGGTGCCAATAACGAACACAGATTAAATCTGATTTTACATGTATTGACTGCAGCGAGAATAGTCTTTGTACAACAATGGAAAAGTGAAGAGATCCTAACAGATGAAGATGTGATTAGAAAAATATTAGAACGTGCAGAAATGGGTAAGCTAACACTTACAATTAAGAAAGAAACTGAGTATTTTTTTACTTTTTGGGACTTATTTTATCAGTGGCTAGCTGATAAAAACAGGAGCTAGAAATTGGGAAATATATGGAAGGATCAATGATCTAAGGAAGATATGTTAACTTGGTTAAATAATAACCATGATGATTATTATTTGATTAATAATAATCAAATAATGATTGATAATGAATAATTAATATCAATAATGAATAATTGATATTAAGGCAATCAATATTATTGTAAACACTTTATTATTTCCTAAAATGATTTGTACTCAGGCAACACACTTTCAATTGAAATTGGAATTTTTATATGTTATAAAATAAAATAAAAACTTATTATAAAAAAACAAATACAAATAAAACAAATACAGATTAAATGTGGGGCTCTTTATATTCTGTAACTGGTTCCCTCCTTGAAATCGTACATACCGCTGCCCATTTTTCACTCACTATGACTGGGCGTAGAAGGCAATGATGCTGTTATGACAGGTTTCCCCAGCCTGGAAACACAACCAATGTGTGGACCAGGGGTGGGTTCTACTTATCTTTACTACCAGTTCGCATTGGGAGCGCGCATGCACAGATCACCTATGATGACGTCCGGGTTGGTGGGCGGAGCCTTCCGCCGGTTTTACTACTGGTTCTTGCAAACCGGTCTCAACCAGGGGCAACCCACCACTGATGTGGACCTGTTACTTAGCATCATGGATAGCGAATCTGAGGAACTAAAGAAGTCCTCCAATTTGGGGAGCACTTAGGTTGAGAAAGGCTGTGCTAAGGGATTTCATTTCAGAGGAGGAAGGGGGAAAAATAAGTCAGATTAGAACAGTCTCCATTTAACTTGGGGCCTTCCGGATATGTAGGATTACAACTCTTATCTGGCACAGCCAGCACGGCCAAAGAGCAGAGATGATAAAAGAGCTGCAATCTGATAATAATGTCCAAAGGACCACAATAGCTCTTTATCTTTTTCTATAACCTCAGCTTATACATGAAGTTTTTTAATTTTTTTTTTTCAAAACTTAATTGCTCTTAAGGATCCAGCACTTTTCAGTCTGGGTCCCCCCCCCCCGCCGCCATTTTGTGTTTGTGTATGCATATGTGCTAGTTGTTCCCGACTCTAGGGAGCGGTGCTCATTTCTGTTTCAAAGCCGAAGAGCTAGCGCTGTCCGAAGACGTCTCCGTGGTCAGCATGACTAAATGCCAAAGGTGCACGGAACACTGTTACCTTCCCACCAAAGGTGGTCCCTATTTTTCTACTTGCATTTTTTATGTGCTTTCGAACTGCTAGGTTGGCAGAAGCTGGGACAAGTAACAGGAGCTCACCCCCTTCCTCCCACTAGGGATTCGAACCGCTGAACTGCCGACCTTTCGATTGACAAGCTCAGCGTCTTAGCCACCGCACTCC